ACCCTAACCCTAAATTTTATTAAAAGAAATTATACATAGGTGTAAAAACACCATAGGTGCGTTTTATAATAATTCTTAAATATTTTTGTAGTAAATTAATATTCATTGTTAAAAATTCTCAATAGCAATAGGAGTACAAAGATGTGATGATATGTGAACAATTAATTAACATGTGAATTAAAAAATTTTATCAAGACGTTTGAACAAAGATTTATCAACATTTTAGAATTATAAAAGCATCAAATGTTGAAACAGTTCAGGTCGTTAATGAGATACTATATTATCATTTAAGTTTAGTCCGATGTTTAAACCTGATTTTTCTAAATTCCGAACGATAATGTTGGCACAAGGTTTTTGGAGGTATTTATAGAAAGAGTTTCGTGACTCTTAACGGAGGTGTATGATTTAAGCAAGTAGACATTTCCGAGATAGAAGAGTGGCCCGTGTTCGCACCACAGCCGCAGCATCTAATTATTATGTATAATTCGCAACAGGAGGAAACGTCGAACGTCACAAAATCGTTACACAATTGATAAAAATTTTTTTTATATTATTTTACAATACTTTTTTGGAAGGCTCGTTTGACTTATCTTTTCTATGAATATTGAAAATGATTAAACAAACATGAAGCTCTCATTTTGCTTTACAACATATTTCTTGAATCCCATGGTTTCGTCTTTTTGTAAATTTCGCAATTTGATTGGTTGACTAATCCCGTAGTGATATTTTGACTGGTCGATACTGTGTAATGGAGAATGAAAATTATATCTATATTTGGACGTTATAATGCCTCAGTAAAAAGAAAGCCGACAATTGGTGGGAAGCATACGTGTTGCACAAACTACCACATGACTCGGTTTTTGTTACTAACCTCTTTTAATTTTCTCCTTTACTTTAAAAACCTCCGGAGGTCTCTTTAATCATGCAGGTGTCCTTTAAAGTTGGTAATGTTGCCGCACTACGATATTACTAATTCGGTTTCGTCTTGGTCATGTGGTACGCCTTCATCACAAGGTATAAAACCTCCTGCGATCGGTTTTAGGATCATCACTAGATAGAACGATCGTTGTGTTGATCGATCACATCCAGTGATGGCATTCTTGCCATTTGACCTGCCACTGGCCATGGTCAATGGCTGGCTACGATAATAAAATACTAAACTTGGAAAATTTTTCCAATAATTTGATTGGTTCAATATTTATTTTTGGCCAAGGCTATTATCCAGTTGTTTTTGACACTCAGCAGGTTTCCCGATACCTATAGACCTAGCGACCTGTTACTCAATCGGACCAACCTTGACTGTCGGGGACAAACATTTATGTAATGTATATAGTGAGTGTATCAGAAGTAATGAAATGACCTATCAGCTATATAGTTTTATTTATGATAAATCCAAGGATTTATATCGGTCACATATATATCATTACTTTGTTATCAAAATCAGCAGATATGCATACTTGATACGCTCATATCTATATTTGACGCATGTCCTCCTTTACACCAAGTCATGACCTTTAAACTTGAAAGCATGCTTATTCTAAAAACAAATCGGTACATGAAACCGTATGTAGCAAAGGATATTCTAAATTGGTATTCTAGAATTGCATTAAATTTCAAGATCACATCACTTAACATTAACCGTTAACGTTTAAATCAATTAAAAATTTACATAACAGACAATAAAATCATTAACTCACTCATTATCATTAATTATCATTATTATGTTAAGAAGTTGATTAGTACTGTATTACTAAGCCATCAAAGGATACGACTTGGAATTTCAAATAAAAGTCCGAGGCATGCCTTTTTTATGCACATCGATATCTAAAAATTTATTCATGGCAATTGGATCATTAATTGAGTGGGGCGTACATAGATGCAACCCCCAAATAAAAACGTGTTCCAATTAAATGTTATATTGTGGCAAATACCCGTGTGAAAGAACTTCTTATCACAGGCCATTGTATTATACTTATATACTTTATTTAGTTATTAAGTACACATGTATGTACATAACGATAAGTGCAGAAGTGCGTAATTATTATTTGAGTCTATATGCCCCGGATATTTTAAGTCATATTTTTCTAATTAAAGTTCATTACTATTATATAATGCTCATCTATAAACCAATTGACAGAAGACACGTTATCAATGTTTGTAAAACCTTTTAAAAATGAAAAATATTCAAGTTAATCTTCCTTACCTTCATTTTCTTGAGGAAATCCCTAAACATTTATTCTTTATATATACTTAAAATACTATATTTTGTGATACATTTTTTTTTTTTTGTGTATAGTTTTTTAGTTTTTTAAACCTTTGATCTATTTTAAAGTAAATAATGGAGGCTCATATAAAAACTTCTGAAGAAACTTTAGAGCACGCTCACGTAAAAACTGTTGAAGAAGTTTTAGACTATTTTAAAGTTGATATAAACAGAGGTTTAACGGAAAATCAGGTTGAAGAGAATGAGAAAACTTATGGAAAGAATGGTATGTACTAATTTTTTATTCCGAAAAACGCAGATCTAATTTTATCTTTAATTATTGAACTTCAAAAATCCCTACAATGTTTCGATTTATTTAATATTTATCCCTTTTAATTCTGTTATCCTGTTATCTTATCATAAAATTTATAATTTCCTTTTAAAATCTTACAGAGATTCCCCAAGAAGGACAAACTTCTTTAATAGAACTCATTCTAGAACAATTCAAAGATCAACTCGTTATAATTCTCTTAATTTCTGCTGCGATATCTTTTATACTGGCTTTACTCGAAGAATCCGAAGAACAGGGTACTGCTTTTGTAGAACCAATCGTAATTCTCTTAATTTTAATCGCTAATGCGACCGTAGGTGTTATACAAGAAACTAATGCCGAGAAAGCTATTGAGGTAAACAAATTTCTATTAAAAAATTTTGATTTTTTTTTTTGATTTTACATTAAGTTTAATTTCTTATTTAGGCTTTAAGAGAATATTCACCTGATGAAGCAAAGGTTTTACGTGATGGACATCTAAGTAAACTTCATGCTTCGGATCTTGTACCAGGTGACATTGTTGATGTCGCTGTAGGTGACAAAATTCCAGCTGATTGTCGAATATTAAAGGTTTATTCATCTGCTTTAAGAGTCGATCAGGCCATTTTTACTGGTGAAAGTGTTAGTGTGAATAAGGACACTAGACCAGTTAAAGATCCACAAGCTGTTAAGCAGGATCAAACTAATATTCTATTTACGGTAGTATTTTTTTTATTCGTATTTATTCGTTTATTTAATTTTTATACTAAATGTTTTATTTATTGATCTATCATAAACCCTTTTATATAGGGAACTACTGTCGTACTTGGAAAAGCACGTGCCATTATTGTTAAAACCGGTACCAACACTGCTATAGGTGATATTCATGAAAATATTGCTAGTCAAATATCCGCTAAAACTCCTCTAAAAATTAAATTGGATGAATTTGGTGACTTATTGGCCAAGGTTAATTTATAAAGATTTTATTTATTGATTTTTTTTTTCTATAAAATATTATTAATGACATATATTATTTGTCATTTTAATAGGTTATTACAATAATTTGTATTGCTGTGTGGGTGATAAATATTCGTCACTTCAACGATCCTTCTCATCATGGTTGGCTTAAAGGTGCTATATATTATTTTAAAATTGCCGTTGCGTTAGCCGTTGCTGCCATTCCTGAAGGTTTGGCCGTAGTTATTACTACTTGTTTAGCTCTTGGTACAAAAAAAATGGCCAGGAGGAATGCAATCGTTCGTTCTCTTCCATCTGTTGAAACTTTGGGCTGTACTAGTGTTATTTGTTCGGATAAAACTGGTACCCTCACTACAAATCGTATGAGTGTGTCAAGGGTATTTATTTATTTTATTTATTTATTTATAATATTGTATTAATTTTCATTTTTAATTTTCATTCTTATACTTTGAATATCTTCATACATTTTATAATTAATAATAATTTAATTATTACTACTTTTTGTTACTTAGTTACTTGTTGTAACAAATGAGCTTGCTGATCTCCAAGAATATCATATTGATGGTTCCAATTATTCTCCACACGGAAACATTGTGACTCCCGATGGTGAAACTGTCTATTTTCTTCCTGAAAAAAGTCCTTGTATTAATGACCTAGCAAAAATATGTGCTTTATGTAATGACTCCCGAATTTCTTATGACGAAGTAAGTTGGGCTTTTAGAGGACGTTTCTGTTATACTAATTATTATATGATTATAACTAAATTCGGTACTTCATCTACAGACTACTGGTTCATATAATAATGTCGGTGAACCTACCGAAGCAGCTCTAAAGGTTTTTGTCGAAAAACTTGGAACTGACAGTAATTCATTTAATGGTACTTTGAGCTCATGTTCTTCAAAGGCACGCGCTACTGCTTGTAATGACTACTATGAAAATAGATTTCATCGTGTAAGTGATCGTGTTATTTATTTTAATTTATTTTTTTATTTTTTATTTATTTATTTATTTTTCTTTGTATTAATAATATTTAACCTTCTCAATTATTTTGCAGTTAAATACTCTCGAATTTTCTCGTGATCGTAAATCCATGTCTGTTATTGTCCAAAATATGAATTCCCCCAATTCTACTTCCTTACTTGTTAAAGGTGCACCTGAAAACATATTAGACAGATGTACGTCTATCCAGTTATCATCATCCACAACTATTGGGCTTACTGATACTATCAAAAACGAGTTATCAAAAAAACTTAAAGAATATGGCCGTAAAGGTTTAAGAGTTCTTGCTATGGCTAAACTTGACAATTGCTCAACTAATAATTGGGATCTTGGTGATCCTTCAAAGTTTGATCAATATGAAAAAGATATGACTTTTATTGGTTTAGTAGGCATGCTTGATCCACCACGTCCTGAAGTTGCGGATGCTATTATAAAATGTAAGACTGCTGGGATAAGAGTTATTGTTATAACTGGTGACAATCAAAATACGGCTGAAGCTATTTGCAGATCAATTGGTATTTTTGGTGAACATGAGGATTTGGAAGGAAAATCTTTTACTGGTAGAGAATTTGATGATTTTTCAGATGATAAAAAAGCCAAAGTTTTAAAGGAAGCTAGTCTATTTTCAAGGACTGAACCATCACATAAGAGTCAACTTGTTGATATACTGCAAAGGAATGGTGATATAGTAGCTATGGTAAGGGACTAATATACAGTCGTACCTCTATGCAATCACCTCCTCTATAATCACATCATATAAAATCTCTCTTTATCTCATTCTGTGCTCAAGGATAAATTACTATTAAGCTTATGAAAAACTATTTCTATATAAGCGCAACTTCTTTATAAGCACATTTTTTTAAAAAAGTTTTAAGTAAAAAAACGTGTGATTATATAGGAGGTTGACTGTATTTTTTCAATAGTTAAATGTTATTACCTATACAATATATTCATCTTAATTCTTTAAATTGTAGACAGGGGATGGTGTCAATGATGCACCAGCTCTTAAGAAAGCTGACATTGGTATTGCAATGGGATCCGGTACCGATGTTGCTAAATTAGCTGCTGATATGGTTCTTGCCGATGACAATTTTGCTAGTATTGAAGGTGCTGTTGAGGAAGGACGATCAATATATAACAATACAAAACAATTCATTCGATATTTGATTAGTTCGAATATTGGTGAAGTTGTAAGGTAAATTTTATTCTCGGTTATTATCATTATTATTATTATTACGATTATTATTCATTAATTTGAATTTTATTAATTGATAACTTTTTATTAGTATTTTCCTTACAGTTCTTCTTGGTATGCCAGAAGCTCTTATTCCCGTCCAACTTTTGTGGGTAAATCTTGTAACTGATGGTCTTCCTGCAACTGCCCTTGGTTTCAATCCTGCGGATCATGAAATTATGCGTCGTCCTCCACGAAATCCTCGAGAACCTTTTGTTGGAAAATGGTTATTCTTCCGTTATATGGTTGTTGGTACTTATGTTGGTGCTGCTACCGTATTTGCATACGCTTGGTGGTTTATGTTCTATGAAGGAGGTCCCCAGATTTCTTTTTACCAATTGGTAAGCTTTTTGTTTTATTTCACTCTTTTGAATCTATTTTGTTTTATTATTTTGGATTTTAATTTTAATTATATTTTTCATTAAAAGACAAACTTTCACAAATGCAGTGCTTTATTCCCAGAAATTGGCTGCGAAATGTTTACAAGCATTATGGCTAGTCGTGCTACCACAATGTCACTTTCGGTTCTTGTCACTATTGAAATGTTTAATGCTACAAATTCTTTAAGTGAAAACGAAAGTTTATTCACATTACCTGTGTGGAGTAATATTTACCTTGTGCTTTCAATCTTTCTCTCAATGGCCCTACATTTCATGATACTATATGTTCCATTCTTTTCGGTAAAATTCATTTTTCATTTCATTCTATTTAATAGAACTAAAACATTCTCATTATGGTATGCCCTCATCATTACTTACTTCATTGTTATTTACATCCTTATTGTTGTTTATAGAAACTCTTTGAAATCGTACCCCTAAACACGACAGAATGGGGAGCCGTGATACTGATGTCGTTCCCCGTTATTATAATCGATGAAATGTTAAAATTCGTCAGTCGAAACTTTATTGGTATATCACTTTATATTTTATGCTTTGAATGTGTTTAGTCTCGAATCGCTATTAATTAAAATTATTATTACCATTTCAGCCCCACCCACAAAACTCAAGACAGAATAATTTATACAGTTTTAAGTATATGTATAAATGTATAGGGAGGAACTTAGGAAAATTGATGTGTATACTAGTGATTTCCTTTTTTTAATTTTTCCTATTTTAATAATGTAAAGGATAAAACGAAATAGACGTTTGATATTTAAATTTGTTACTGTTGGTTTAATGATACTGTCAAACTAAATTTTTAATTAAAATCACAATTAATGGTTTGGGAATTACATATATAATATAAAATGAGCCGTAGATCAAATTTAGATCACTTTGTCATTAGACTGAAATCTAATTACGTGTAGTGGGTAAACAAAAATTTATGACCGAGAGATGACTAATACTTTTCTAAAATTTTACTTGTAAATATGCTCGACAAATTTCAAATTTTCGAAAAGATTTGGCTTTCATTATATATATAAATATATATTAATTTTCAAACTTGTTTTATGAAGACACATTACTATGTAATAAAAATATATCAAAATCTTGTGATTAATGGATTAAGTTTATTTATACGTAGTACATGTAATAAGTAATAAATTCCTTAACAAAAAAATGTATGTGGTCTTGATCAAACCAGATTTTTTTTTTACGTATTTAATTTGGGTTCATGACCAAAATAAATATATTATTAAACTTTATTTTTTCAACTTTATTTTTCATACTTATCACTTTTTTTTTTTTTTATTTACATCTTACATTTCATTTATTTTTAAAAACCACTGATTCATTATACAAATATGCGTGCATTTAATGTATTATTAAGACCTTAAATAATTCAAAAATTTTAAAACCTTTAATCGGGTATATCTAGGTTCGAAGATTGATAAGTTCTTAAAGATCGAATTTGATTCAGGCCAAATAAGGTTAAAATTGAATGGATCGATTATCAGGAACGAAGTGCAGCGAAGATTATTAATGGCAAGTGGCCTAATTCAAGATGATCCCGTGATTTTATCTTGGAATTTCTATATTCATAGATCAAAGAATTCAAAGTATGCATGAGTTTAAACAGTGCGATAAAATGCAATTAAGCGTTATGTGATAAAGAAACTTATGATCAATATGTTAAATTTCCTCGTCTGGTATAAGCCTTGCCTTTCTCCTAAGTCAACCCTGACTCTAATTTAATATTAGTCGATTTCGTGTTATACAGTAATAAAAAAATTATACCGTTTAATATACAAATTTACCTGGACTTTTGATAGTTGACGTGAAATCTCCAAAAAATTATTGTATCAACGAAAATTAAAGGTCGATCGTTTGTTTCTGGCAGGAAAAAAAAGGATCACTAGTCGAAATGAAAATATCAATCTCCTAGCATATAAAAAAATTTAATTAATAAAAAATATTTATTAAATAGTAATATTTTCATTAGAACATCGTGCAAACCCTCCGCAAGGTCGTAGAAGTCCATTCTGGCAAATAGTTTAGGTGATTTAAAGCGCACCTTTGCGCTAACGCCGAGATAACGAACTAAACCAACCCTTGCTAAATGTGAACAGATCTTCCAGAGTGTGCCTTTGCGCGAACGCCGAGACAGCCTCTTGTAGGTTCCCAAAGGGTTCGCTCGGACTAAGTTTCTTCTACGACAAGGAAGAGCGTAGCTGATTCTTATGCAAAACCAACAGACTTATCGGCAAGAAACTCCTCTCCAGGGTGATAGAAGCAACTACCTGTCAAATAGTTTAAGTGGGATTTAGAGTGCACCTTTGCGCTAACGCCGAGGTAACAAACTAAAACCACCCTTGCTAAATTTCAGAATAGTTCTTCCAGAGTGTGCCTTTGCGCGACGCCGAGACAGCCTCCTGTAGAAATCCAAGAGGGTCCGATTCCAGTACTACGAAAAACATAACCACCTTTCATTTTCACGAAGCGGACTTGCAATAAACGACTTGCGGATTGTAAAAATTTACAATCTAAATTTATAGGAATTTATATCGTACCGTATAAGCGCGAAATAACGCGCAGGGGCGTTATTTTGAGTAATGGCCTGAATTAAGCTTAATTTAGGCCAAAATTCGAATATACTCGAATAGTCAATAGGGCATGCCATATTCCGAAAATATATAAAGATGCAGTTTATATTTTTTGAACTTCAGAAAAAAATTTTTTTAACCAATTAAATTAAACAAGCAAATCATGTGATTATGACATGCCATGGCATGTATCTGGCATGAAATTTGGAATTTGGCATGCCTGGTATGCCAAATTTTTTTATCATGCCAAGAACTCTAATCATGTAGCATAATTATAAATGGCGGTGAAATTACCCTTAATGAAAAGTTTTGATGTCGAAATTGGTATTTAATCTTAAATTATCAAAAATTAACGAAATTATTGTTGGTGTCTCATATCAGCCTATATAGTGAGCAAGATGTTTAATGAAAGGTACCTTTAAATCGTAACAATGTCAAACTTTTATTTTACTTATTAGAATATAGCTTATCGAAATATCTACTATCACACGATTTACAAACATAATGCAGGCCATATGGTAAATCGTTAGCCGGGCTTTTTTTTAGAAAATTTAAATTCAATAGCTCTCGAAAAAATAAACATATGAAAATAAATTTTTGCTTGCTGAAGCCTGCTCATTAAATTAATTACGCCTTTTTTTTTATTTTGTTTAAGTATCATTAGATTTAATAATTAATTTTCACTTTATTTAAAATAAAAAAAGCCCGGCCAACGATTTACCATGTGGCCTGCATTATGTTTGTAAATCGTGTGATAGTAGATATCCCGGCAAGCCATGATATATTTTAATCAGTAAAATAAAAATTTGACGCTGTTACGATATAAAGGAGCCTTTCATTAAACTTCTTGCTTTTATAGAATTAAAAAATGTTAAATATGTATTACAGGAGGAATTAAAGGCGTAGTAAATTCTATTTTATATATCTGCTATAGGACATGAAATATTTACAATATAAAAAATAGAAAATCTACCAAAAAATAAAAAATTTTGGTGTGCATTTTTTAGGGTTAGGGGTTAGGGTTAGAAGTTAATTTTAGGTTAGAATTTATAATTAACAAGTATAAGTGGGTTTTAGGTAGTTAAATACAAACGTTTATTTCATTTTAATTATGATCTTCGACAATTAATAATAATATTATGATCTAAAGAACATATGAAGAACTTTTGCTCAAGATCCTTCACTATTCAAACTTGTAATTTTGCAAAAGTTCAGAAAATGTTAAAGAATATAAGTCCCATATCTAAAATTATTTTTTATATTTACTTTCTTGAGTAATTAAAAAAAAACTTTTTTTTTTGTCAAATTTCCATATAAATTAGGGTGAGTCATCTCATTTGATTTATATTTGATTTAAGTCTGAAATTTGTGTTCTCAGAGTTCTCATGAGAACACAATTATAAATTTGTGCACAGTATAAATTTTTTTACTGTTTACTATTAAAAATTTTTTTGAGAACAGTAAAATAATAATCGTGTTCTCATAAGTAAATAATATAAAACTATATAATATTAATACACAAAGTTAAATGCTAAATATATTACATTCAAAATCATAAAAAAATTCTAATATAATGACAGTTATATAAATCTAAGATAAATTTTGAATGCAAATTGGTATCGTTTTTTTTTTTTTTTTTTTATGATCATTAAGTGAGAACAGAAATATTAGTGTGAGAACACCTATAGCTATTATACTGTTCTCATAAGAACAGTGTTTAGATCTGAAATTTCAAACACTGGTCCCATGACATATTACTAGTAGTGATCCTAAGATTAGTTCTCATGTTTTCAGGGGTCCATTTACTTAATACATTTTTGAGATATAGCAACACTGGTGATGATTACCATAACAGACTTCTTTATTACAGTATTTCTTAAAATTTTTCATGTAAATTAGATACGTGCAAAGTCACGCGACATAGTACGTTCCGTAGACCGGCCGTGTAGAACCAAATTTTAGTCACTCTTATATGCTGACTTAATATTAAAAAATTGGCCAATCGGAATAATTCGATCGTGTGCAGAATCAACGTAAATTTGACCAATAAAACATCTTCTTTTGCAATTAAACGCGTAAACATACCGAAATCAAATATAAACTTTGACTTTTTAAAAAAAAACATTCGTAAATGAATTTCACTGAGCCATACAAACAGTCCATAAACCTTTGCCGGTTTTCCCCCGATTTAAAATACATTGCAACAGTTGTTGATAGTATAATTGTCATCCGTAATGCGGACACTCTTCAGGTGTCGCGTGAATTCAAACATTCTACTTCCTTACAATATATAGAATGGTCGCCAAATTCTTCTTTGATTTTAGCTGCAAATCTTAAAAAAGGTGACATTATTGTTCGTAATATATATGATCCTACATGGAAAAAATCGATAAAGGAAGGTCCAGCCGGCTTACTGAACGTAAAATGGAATCTTGACGGTAAAAGCATCATGTGTTTCTCAGATTTTGAGGTAAGGATGTAATAATACAATAAAATTATTACAGAAAAAAACAAAAAAAGAACACATATAATATCATTCTATTTGCTCATTCTTTTTTTTTTTTTTTATTTCGAAGCTTCGGATAACGATATGGTCTTTAATAACTAATAATGGATACTATATACAAGACCCAAAATATCACAATAAAGGTACACATTGATAGATTATTCGGCAATGTCCATGTTCATGACACTAATAATTATTGTTACTTTAAGGGTTTTGTTTTCGAGAAGACCCACCATGGTTCATTTTAGCAGAACGTCGTGAATGTAAAGATTTTATAGGTGTATATAAATGTGATTCTGACGACTGGAAATTGTTAAATGTAAGTAATCACAAATACATATCTATATAACCATGAATTTTTTTAATCATGTCATTAATCGAATTTGTTTATGAATTATTGTCAACCATTAGGTGTTCCAAGTTGATACTGTAGACTTAGACAACATAGCGTTATCACCAAATGGTCATTATATTGTAGCGTGGGACAATTGCATTTGGGTATTTTTTATTTTTATATTAAATAAAGCATTATCAAATAATTAACGCTTACGTATGCATATACTTATTAATACATTGATTTACTAGTACAAAATTTTGATTTATACATTGGATGGTCAATGTTTAGGAAATTTTTCTATAGATGACGAAGGACTTGGTGTTAAGTCTGTCGCGTGGTCTCCTTCGAGTAAACTTGTAGCTGTTGGAAGTTACGATCAAAAGGTATCCACCAAATAGTTTATTTAATTTATTTAAATGAATCACCTAAATTTGATGTTTTATCATTATAGATTCGTCTATTCAACAATTACACCTGGTCACCAATAATAGAATTAATACATGCCGGTCGAATTAAAAATCCTAATCAATTGGTAAAAATTCTTAATAATCGGAATTTTATTTTAACTTATCCATTAAATGACGTGTTAAATTATTTTGTTAGAAAATATGGAAAGAGGTCAATGAATTCAGTAAAGAATACGGTCGAAATATATCAAAATGTATGTATCTTATTAATTTAATTGTATTCATTTTTACTAATTAATCCGATCTGAATAAAATCATTATAACAGACGACCTTGTCGATGGGCCTTTAGAGGTTCCCTCAATTCTGATTGAAGCGAAACCAAATCCAAAGTTAGGCGTAGGACATTGCAAATTTAACTCTAATGGCCATTTTATAGCTGCGAGAAACGGTAAAATATTTGCTTAGAATATTTGAATCTATTATTATCTGTTTGTCTCATTTTTTTTTATTTTAAAGATAATATGCCGAATTGCCTCTGGATATGGAATATCCCACATCTAATACCTGTCGCTTTAATTATTCAATTGAACCCAATAAAACATTTTTATTGGAATCCTATTTGGCCAGATCAACTTTTAATTTGCTGCGGGAATGAATACATGTATTTTTGGTGTGGTCTAGAACTTGGAACAGAAATTATTGAAGTTCCTATTGGTAATAATTTGAATTTATATTAATATATAGATATATTTATATTGTATTTTAATTATATATATATATTTATATTTATTTATTATAAAAATAGCCAATTTCGAGGTGCATAACGTTCGATGGCGCTCGGACGGTAAGTCCCTGCTGATCATGGATAAAGCACTTTTTTGTGCTTCTTTTTTTTTGTAAAAAAAGTTAATTAGTGAAATAAACTCACTAGATTTAGATTTTAAGATAATATAAACAATAGATTTTTGAATAGTATATTTGTTGGCCTTTAGTACTTGAATTACTCAAATTTATTATTAACTAAGTAGATATATACTGTATATTGTATATTTGATTAATACAATTGTTTAATTTATTAACTTTTACAAAATATATGTATTGTGGGGGCTAATGCTAAAATTTTGGGGTTTCTATCTAGAATGTAAAACCCACCTATACACTTTAATTAATAACAAAAAATGCACCTCGAAATTTTTAAAAATTTAATAAAAATAGTCGAAATTTTAACATTAGCCTCCACATTTATTTAAAACATTTCATTAACATCTATACTATAATTCTTTTAACTTTAGCCAATACAGTACTAACTTTAAATTAGCTAAATTTTAACTGCTGAATAAAGAAAGGTATATACTGTATATGGGAACCCACGATTTTGTAATTTATAAAAATTATATTCCTATAATCTAATTCAAGAAATCAATTAAAATAAAAATTTTTTTTTGACCTACTGCCCAGTGAAAAAGATTTGAAAATTTTTGTTAATGTTTCTATAATAAAAATAATAGATATACACACTCTCTCTCTCTTTGTAGGAACATATATTATTATACCTTTTATGCAGCGTTGGCACATTTATCCATTGGGACGAATGGAGAACAACTCCATTGACATTGCTCCATTGCTCCATTGAGAATAATTTCTGAATGGAGCCAATGGAAGCCAACCAACTCCATTGACATTGATCCGTTTGACCTGTTTATCAACAGGTCGAGCTATCAGTATATGAGGCTAGGGGTATTCTTCATCGGCTTTATACTGGGGCCATTAGCTCCACTGAGTTCTCCGCTGGCTCCATTAGGTTCTCCATTAGTATAATTGACTCCATTCACTCCATTGGTAATTTTCTCAATGGATTGTATCCTTTGCCAACCTTGCTTTTATGTTCCCACTTTGTTTCTAACATCAGGAAATTTAAATATCCCTTTTGACACCAAATTCGTACAAAGCGACTTTTAAATTCGTACAAGGTGACTTTCAAATTCGTACAAAAGAACATTGTAATTTTGATTAATTGAATCGTAATATCTCGTGATATTGTAATTTGATTTGGATAATTTTGATACCATACGAATTGTCTCATCGAGAGGATTCGAATGGTATCAAAATCATCCAAATCGGATTACTAGATCACAAGATATTGCGATTTAATTAATCTAAATTACAATGTCCTTTTGTACAAATTTGAAAGTCACTTTGTATTTAAAAGTCAATTTGTACAAATTTAAAAGTCACTTCTGATGAAAAAGGAACATCTAATGTTCCTAAATTTTTTTAAATGCTCCCAGGAACATTGGATTTCTACGTAACACTGCTACTGCCCCCTTTTGCTGTGGGGATCCCATATATTGTATAATAATTTTTTGAAGTAAACAATCAAAAGAATTGTGCGATATATTTATATATATATATAAATATTTATGATACACCAACATTATATGTGCGTCAATTTTTTTTCTGTTACTTCTTTTCCAAAGTCTTCTTGTACGTAAAAAGTAAACAAAAATTTACCATATATGTACGTACGAAAGAAATTTTGCCTCCCGGGTACAAATCATAAGGGGTAGGTACTCGTCTGTTCACGTGAGCGTGTACTTATTAGTCGAATTTGCGCAATCCGTTATGCAAGTTAAAACTAGCAGTAGATTATCAAAGGGGCTGACGAATCATCTCCGTTATTCATGATATACATGTATAAGATTGTCTTAGCAGTTAAATAAAATTTAAGCGTTCAGTTAGCTCACTATTTGCTCATGTTTCCAGCATAAGGATGTTCGTTATATCTAGAATGCTAAAAAGGAAACTATTCTTTAACGTTAATAAATTATTGTTTATATGAATAATAGCAAAACAAATACAAGCCTATTTTTATTTAGTAAATATATACCACTGAAAATAGTGTACTGGTTACCCCATTGTTTTCAAATCGACCACGACGGTTAAAATTACTAATTTGGATTCCGTGTGGACATATTAAAGTAAATAAAAATGCTGAAATAAGAAAAATACCAAAGCGGTTTATCTAAACGAGCATTCTAATGATATATACTTCAAAAATATTTGTTGGATATATTTTTTAACTGCATGCAAAGGATAACTCAAATTTGGGATATTCATTACACTATCAATATGATCAACTATGAGTCAATGAGCGCGCTTAATTATTTAACGAGAAACAAGATTTATAGATTATCTTGCTTAGCTATTAGTGTAACAATTTCTGGATAACAACCGGATTAATTCAAAATCCGAATTTAAATAAGACTGACGCAATTTACTCTCAAATTTTAATTCTTTTTAAAAAAAAAAAAAAAAAAAAATGAAAACAACCGCAAAAAACGCAGAAATTAGAGCAAATGCAGATGGAAGTGAAGTCAGAAGGCAAATTCCACCTAGCGTTTACACACGATATTCCGATTTATTAAGTCGCGTTAATAATTTTAGTATTATTGAATCTACTTTACGAGGTTGGTATTTGTTGGTATTTTATTATTTCAAAAAAAAAGTATCAAATTTAAAATATATTTTATTAAATTTTTTAATTATCCTTTTTCCTTTAAAAGAGGGTGAACAATTTGCGAATGCGTTTTTCGATACAAATAAAAAAATAGAGATTGCTAAAGCTTTAGATGAATTTGGTGTTGAATATATTGAACTTACATCGCCTGCTGCTTCAGAACAATCAAGGCAAGATTGTGAAGCAATATCTAAGCTAGGACTTAAAGCCAAAATTTTGACTCATATAAGATGTCATATGGATGACGCCAAAATCGCTGTTGAAACTGGTACGATTTTTATTACTTTGTTTAGATTGTTTATGTCATTATTGTATATTTATTATTTATAATTATAATGCATGAATAGGTGTTGATGGCGTTGATGTCGTAATAGGAACTTCTTCATATCTTCGTGAATTCTCTCACGGCAAGGATATGGACTATATTGCTGAGAAAGCTACTGAAGTTATAAATTTTGTTAAATCCAAAGGAATTGAAGTTCGATTCTCATCTGAAGATTCATTTCGAAGTGATTTAGTTGATTTATTAAGCCTTTATCGCATGGTAGATAAACTTGGTGTTAATCGAGTTGGCATTGCTGATACGGTTGGGTGCGCAAATCCACGTCAAGTTTATGATTTGGTTAGAACTCTTCGTGGTATTGTTTCATGTGACATTGAGTGTCATTTCCATAATGACACTGGTTGCGCCATAGCTAATGCTTATGCTGGTATGTGATTATATTCCTCTTTCGATTAATAATTATTTATATTTATTAACACGAACGTTTATTTTATGATATTTAGCTCTTGAAGCTGGTGCGACCCATATTGACACTTCCATTTTGGGTATTGGTGAACGTAATGGAATAACATCGCTTGGTGGATTAATTGCACGTATGTACACGGCGGATAAGGATTATATTAAGTCGAAGTATAAACTCCATATGCTTCGTGACCTTGAAAACTTGGTGGCCGATTCTGTCGATGTTCAAGTTCCTTTCAATAATTACATTACTGGATATTGCGCATTTACGCATAAAGCTGGTATTCACGCGAAAGCAATTTTGAATAATCCAAGTACTTACGAAATTTTGAAACCAGAAGATTTTGGGTAAGTAAAAGTATTTTCAATAAATATCGTGGCTGATGCTGAAATTTGGGATCATCATTTATAAACATAACAGAATTTCAGCATTTACAGCGATAATAAGTTTAAAATTTTGAAAAAAAATTAATTTTAATATATATTTATATATTTCCTTAGCATGACACGATACGTAAATATTGGCCATCGTTTAACTGGATGGAATGCCGTCAAAAATCGCGCGGAACAATTGGGACTTAGTCTTACCGATGATCAAGTCAAGATAATTACCGCTAAAATTAAGGAATTGGGCGATATTCGTCCACAAAAAATGGAAGATGTTGATAACTTGTTAAGGGATTATCATTCTGCTCTTAACTCTGGTGATGAATCACAGATTAAAAATGTTCTGTCTGTTGTCCCTGCAATTCCGAGTTAGATTCTTCGGAGGGTAGAAGACGAGAATTTACGGATTCTAAATGGTTTTTAGACAGATTTAATGTTAAATTTTTTTAGACTAAAAAATCATTAAACTCATTTAAGAACCGTTTAGTATCACTAAATTTGTTTGTCTTAGAGGTGTTTTTTTTTTTTTTTTTTTTTGAAAAATATGAGATACTGGCTCTGTAGATGTTTTGTGGGATAGATAGGTTTGTAATAATTTTGTTTCAATTTAATGATACTGTAATTATGTTAAAGTTAGTGATGATAGCATCGACAAAATCATAAAAAGCTATCAAATTACCTTTTACAAACTTATAAAAATGTTATTTAAAAACAAGTAAATATATAGTGTTTATTATAGAAATATATATTGCTAAACTACTTATTAAAGAGTTTTTTGATTATTATTTTATTATTCTAATATATTAATTTTAAAAAAAATAAATATATATAGTTTATTTTAAAAAGTTATAGGGCAATTTTTATATAACAATAACAGCTACGTATTAATCTAAAAAAATTGAAACAATATTTAGCTAGCGTTAACTAGTCTGTTTTAGATTAATACTAGACATGATATTATCGTTATCTCATGCAAGTCATGTGAAATAATAGGTGTGATGGTCTCATTATCTAATCTCTATATTACTTATCCTTCTTGCCTTCATTATTTTTACAAACCTAATGCTCTATAAAGTGGAATATATAACATATATATATATCAATATCGATATACAGTAATTAACGTTAAATAAGAGAGATCGGAACCCTGTAATAAAATATCTGATCGACGTTTTTTTCGGTGATATTTTAACAACCAATAAAAATGAACCTTCACTATGCCCAAATTAAATTTTTCATTACATCACAGATCTTTTAAATTTCAGCCTCAGCATTATTTCTTCGAGTTTCGGCTTTCGACACGATGGAAAAATGGATTCGCCTACCAACTATAGCTCAGCCATTTATACTTCCTAGAGTTTCACTTTTCGCTAGGGGTCCATTTCACCAGAGGTTTCGTCCTTTGGCAAGTAAAATAGCTTCGTCTAATGACTATATTCGAGATATATATATCAAAGAACTTAAGGGTTATAAACCCCCACCAGAAGTACTTTCAGATTTTACTATTAGTTTATTAGTCAAATATTTAAGTCATTGACTAATTTATGTATAAAAGAAACCTGGTGCCGAAGTCGGTATTGTGAAAGAGCTTCGGCTACCTTCAGCTTCCTCGGTAACTACCATTTTGTATCTTATGAATGCTTCTTATAATTTATTTATTTATTTTTGATTATTTAAAGCCGCCGAATGTTCATGAGGATCTTTCTGAAGAATTGGCTGCTTATGATGCTGAAGATGTACATCCCCAAGCCGAAATTTTGCTTAGTTCCTCGTTTGAAGAACAGGTTTTAAGAGATGAGGAAGCACCCTCTCAAGGCCATTAAGAGAATTATGGTTAGTAGTTGGACCCGTCTAAAAAATCATGACCCGGGTGGATAAATATATTTCTTCTATAATTATAATATGAAATTAATAAAATATTTGATGAATTGCACAAGAACTATACTAGAACTGATTCATA